GCGGATGAGGAGGAGCGGAGAAGTAACAGGAAACGCCATTCTCCGTCGGTAGCGTCTTGGAGACCATCTGGAGCCATACCCCCACTGTGGTTGCGATGGCCATAGCCCATGCGAGTCGGAGGCGTACGAAACAGGGTGGGCGTCGCTTCATTGAGAATTAAATTGAAACGCCTTTACTTTTCCTTACAGATGCGCCGACACCCGCTTGCCGGCGGTGAAGAGGCGTGTGAGCCCCGTGGCTTCTGGAGACTCCGAAAAGCCCCAAGAGGGCCCAGACAGAGCGCCAAGTCAGTCGAAGAAAGCGTCGAGCTGGTCCAGACTAGCCCCACGACGACCTAAGATGACTTCAAGACGGCCCATAACGCGGCCCAAAAGTGTTTCAAGAGGACAGCCGGCAAGGACCCACAAGGCATTAGGAAAACGTGCATTCTTAACACGATCGTCTGTTTCGTCTTGACAACTTCTAAGACTGCCCGAGGGACCCCCCAGATCGCCACAACACGGCCCATGAGGCCCTGAGACGATCCCAGGAGCCCCCAAGACGGCCCAAGAGAGCACCCATGAGGGCCCCAAGAGAGCCCAAGAGGGGGAATACAAATCTTTCGAGCCTCTCCCCCCAAGATGGCCCCAAGAGCCCCTCAGACGCCCCCGAGGCGCCCCAAAGAGGCCCCAAAGAGGCCTCCAAGAGGCCCCCAAGAGGCCACCAAGAGGCCCACGAGAGGCCCACAAAAACTTTCCAGGTGCATCCAAGAGCCCTCCAAGAGGCCCCTGACAGGCGTCCCAAGAGACCTTTAGATTCATCCAAGAAGCTCCTGGCCCACAGCCCAGGCACAGAGGCGGGTTGGGCCGACGGCCACTCGATCACTCCCGAGATCGTCCCAAGCCCTGACTCTTTCTGCGGGTCGGCGGAATGGCGAAAGGCCACTCGAATCATTCGAAGCTCCGTCAACGACCATGTGGTCGAATGCCTCGGCATAATATTAAACAGCATGCTTGCGGTGGTATCAAACGTGCTCCTGCCAAAGGATACGTTACTACAATAGCGGTACCCAATACTTGTAGCGCAAAGCGATATGCACACGCTGCTTTCCACGCCAGCACACACGCTGGGCACAGATCCCACGATAATGTTCTTGCGGTAAGGCACAGATCCCAAGAGGCTCTGGCCTGAGAGCTGATAAATGGAATTCGCCAGACATGGGCGCTCAACGAGCGCGACCATTTCTAACGAGCACATCCAACTGTTGCCCTCCTGCACCATGCCCAGCAAATCAGAGACCACAACATTGCTAGCGCCGTAAAAAGAAACACCTTGGAATGTTGCTCCAACTGTGGGATACCCCCCCGAGACGGCCCCAAAAACGCTCGAACATAATGACAGTTTAATATATATATATATATATATATATATATATATATATTCCTCTTTCGTGTTCATCATCATCCTTCTACTCCTCCGCCTTCTCCTCTTGTTCCTCCTCGCCCTCTCTCCTTTTCGCCCTGTCCCCCCCCCTCCTCCACCCTGCCACTCAACGTCCTCCACTTTCTCACCGTCGCCCCCTCCTCCCCCTCGCCCCTCCTCCTCCCCGGCCTCCAGGAATGGCTGCAGAGTCTTGATCGTGTTCTCGGAGAACTCCTTCGTTGCCTCTTCCCGCCCAGGGGGTGGCGGCTGGCGCAGACCAAGCCAGGCGTCCAGGACGGGAGATGGGAGGGGTGAGGCAGACGACTGAGAGGAGGACGAGGAGGAGGACGAGGAAGAGGAGGACCAGATTGAAGCGGAAGTAGACCAACGACTTTGCAATCCACCCTCCAATCCCAAGTACCCTCCTCACAAATCCCTGGTGGCATGTTTTGTCACTGAGCGAAAGCGCCCCCCCTGAACGACGAGAGCCCCACGGGCCCGCACTCCAGGCGGGAAGTCCTTTTTGAAAGAAAGTCATGTGCATCCTTCGGGCGATCAGGAATGCGACAAGGTGAGGCTGGAAAGCTGAAGGAAGTGCCCAGCGACGGCTCCACTTTGTAAAGGACTTACCCTTATCCCGTGCAACTGCCACTGCTCATCCCGTATTGCTGCTACCGTGGTCATGGAGACCAACGAAGCTTCAATGAAGAGCACAATTCTGAAAACGAACAGCCCTCCATCAGTGTACCTGTTTACACGCGTGGCAGCATGTGCGAACAATCTCAAGCGATTAGATCATCTCGATATGAGCCGCCCTCCATCCGTGCAACTCTTGGAGGTTGCTAAAACGAGCGCGCGCGGTGCAAAGGGGAGGGGCCCCTTCAGAAAACAATTCGCCCTCCATCCGTTTGACTACTCGAAGAGATTACGAAGTGTGTGTGTGTGTGCGCGGCGCTCAGACGAGAGCCGCATGTTGACAACGATACGCAGTCTGGCACATGCTTGAGGCAAGCGTGCGCGACGCCAAGATGAGAGGCCAACTTTAAAAGCAGCTCGTCCACCATACGCGTAACACTTTAAATGGGCAAACTTCTGATTCGCAAACGGTGAAAACGCCTCAGGCGAGACGCCCGGCCTGCTCTAAGGCCACATCTGTTGATGCGACAGGTAGGAGGTCATTGAAAAGAAGAGAGAGAGACATGGACATGGGAGACCTAGAGAAGGAGAATGGGGAGCGCGAGTGTGGAGAGCACGAGAGAGCGAGAACGCAGGGCCCCGAATACGAAGCGGGGGCCCTGCCTTCGAGCTGCCCCCCCCCCCTCTGGAAAAATGGGGGGCCGAAGCTACCCCCCCCCTCCCCCCCTATTCGGGGCCCGGGCAAGCCCACGCCCCCCTTTCCAAAGCGGGGCAAAGCGGGGGGCCGTCCGAAGCTACACCCAGAGGAAAGAGAACGATGCACATACACGGATTCTGGCCAGGCCCATCCTGAGCCCAGGATCGGTGCATGCGCCCTCTTACCTTGGCCAAGAAGGTATATGCAGCGATCCTGGGTCAAGGATGGACGTTGTCAGGATCGGTGCATGCGCAGAGTTCTCTTCGCCCCCACATTCATCCAGATTCTGTGGTTGGGGGGCGCCTGGCTCCAGGGGAGGGGATGGGAAGCTACCCCCCCCTCCTTGCCTTTTCGGAGTCCAGGGCAAGGTCGGGCCCCCCTTTCCGGGGGGGGGGGGGGGGAGGCTTCCGAGGCCACCTCCCCCCTCCCCTCCTGTCGTTGGCATTCCCAGCCGGGCCGCCCCAGGCTGAAGGGGGGACTTCGAAGCTACCTTCCCGTTTGGTTTTCGGCACCCCTTTGGCGCCCTTTTGGTTTTCGGCGCCCCCTTGGTTTTCGGCGCCCTGTTTGGCATTCCGCGCCCCTTCGGAATCCCACCAGCCCTCTGGGCGTCGGTGGTTTAGAGCGTTTCTTCTTCCACCCCTCCTTCTTCCCCTTCGGGGAGGGGTTTACCCCTCCCCCTACCCCCTCCCCACTGACCTGGACAGGGGGGGCCGCGACGCGTTCGTTGGAGCCTCCAAGATGAGCCCAGACGACTCCAAGATGGCCTCAGGGAGCCCAAGATCGCCTCCAAGATTGTTCAAGATAGCGCAAGATGCCTCAAGATGGTTCCGAAGATGCTCCAAGACGCTCCAAGACAGCCCCAAGACGGCTCTAAGTGTCCACTAGAGCTCCCCTCGGATGCCCCCAAGAAGCCAAAATGTGTCAAAATCCTAAGGAAAATCAATGTTTTTGGCGTTCTCGCGCTTTCGCTTCCGATGCCCACCCGAGGCGTCAAGATAGCTCCAAGATGGCTCAATATAGCTCCAAAAAGGGCCCAAGAAAGCCCGAAGACGGCGCAAAGAGCGCCCAAGAGCGCTCCAAGAGCCCTCCAAGAGCGGTTCAGGAGGCGATTTTAGAGGCTTTCCAGGAGCGACGCTAATTAGTGATTCCGCTTTCTTTGACAGATCCCCTCCAATATGGGCTCTACCAGCGCCTCTGAGGCCTCCAACAGCGCTTCAAGAACGCCCCAAGAGACGCCCAAGAGGCCTCCAGGAGGCTCACAAGATTAAAATAAAAAACAAAAAAAAAAGACGAAAAGAAAAAAAAAATAAAAACTAAACAAAAAAAAAAAGAAAAAAAACAAAAAAAAAAACAAAAAAAAAAAAAGAAAAAAAAAAAAAAAAAAAAAAAAAAAAAAAAAACAAAAACCCCCATACACTCCGCCCCCCCCACCAAACCCCACCCCTCCAACCCCGCACCCCTACAGTCACCAAAACACACGGCCAGATGGGCCACGACGGCATCCGAAAGAGCTTCGGGGAGCCCAAGATAGCCTCCAATATGGCTGAAAATTGCGCAACTTGCCTCAAGATGGTTCCGAAGATGTTCCAAGACGCCCCAAGACTGCTCCAAGACGATTCCAAGCGGCTGCCTCCAGATAGCGCAACCTGCCTCAAGATGGCACCGAAGATGTTCCAAGACGCTCCAACACCGTCCCAAGACGATTCCAAATGGCCATATGAGGTCTCCAGGATCCTCCTCCCCCCGCGTCCACCCATTCCTCCTCCTCCTGCGTCCTCCCCTCCCGCTTCTTCCTCCTCTTCTTTCTAATCCTTCCAATATTTGTTATAATCCCACCAGCCCTCTGGGCGTCGGTGGTTTAGAGCGTTTCCTCTTCCACCCCTCCTTCTTCCCCTTCGGGGAGGGGTTTACCCCTCCCCCTACCCCCTCCCCACTGACCTGGACAGGGGGGGCCGCGGGTAGTTAGAGCGTCCAAGAACGACCCCTGGGAGGGCTAAAATTCGACACCCCTCACGAGGATCGTGCCCCCCAGGGGGGCGACGCTAAAAATGCTTCCCCCTTCTGCGATCGATGTCCTCCAAGAGGGCCTCAAGAGACGTCTCGGACTCTCCTCTTGCGCCCTGCGCGCGGGCGGGCGGAGCGCCGCCCGCCCGCCCGCGAGGCCCAAGAGCCCACCAAAACGTTCGAAGATACCTCCAAGACGCCACCAGGGAAGAGGAAGAGGCGGAGGAGGAGGAGGAGGAGGAGGAGGAGGAGGAGGAGGAGAGCCGTCTCGATCGAGCATTTGCTTAGAGAGCGGCTCACATCATTCACCTGACCCAACTCCCCGTTTTTCTTCCCATGGTTGTTCTTGCTCGTCTCCGGTGGATTCAGCGCCAGGTGGCCACTCGGCGTGTCCACATTTCCATCGGCGAGGCCAAGGACCCCGTCAAGATGAAGTACAAGATAGTGCTGTCTCCGGAGCGTGCGCCTCCTGGTCCTGCACACTCGCTGGTGGTTAGCTCGGTCATCGAGGACCTCATCAGCTCCCTCGGCACTCTGTCTGCCACAGATCGTGGCCATGCACATAGCGACGGTACCTCAGTTGTGCAGATTTGGCTGGACAAACCACAGCTTCGTCGCGATGATCCTGTTCTCCCTCCGCGTGCCGAAGAAGACGATGGGGCAAAGGCCCCAGCACCTCGTGCTGCGCCCGCTGCGCTGCCGAAGGACGAGCAGCCGGAGGAGGAGGAGGAGTTCGGCAAGCGCTCAGCACCTCGGCGCCGGCGCGGCACGCCCATGCCGAGCAGAGCTCCCTCGGTAGGGGCAAGCTCGTGTCACTCGGCGGAGAGGCCTGCTGCAACCACTGTGGTTGTGGAGGACGTGAAGACCAGCGCAGACGGGAAGACCGGTGCAGCTGGTGTAGCCGCGCCGCCTTCTGCGACAGCGCGCTCTTCCGCTCCAGTGCGGCATGCCGATGAGCCGACTCCAGTGCCGGAAACGCCCGAGGCCATGGTTTCGGCAGCTGTGACAGATGAAGGAGCTTTCATGCAGCAGCCTCCCGCGGTCTCAGGCCAGACGCCTGCTAGCAACGTGGTGGATATGCAGGCCCTAGTTCGACAGTTCCAGGCACTTAGACAACAGTTGCCGCCCGTGTTGCCTCAAAGCTGGGAGATGGCACGCGACCCTGCGAGCGGCGTGACGTACTTCTTCAATCGTGTGACAGGTGAGACTAGTTGGCTGCCACCGCATATGTAGCGTGCATCATGTCTCAGTGTAGCATTTCGCATTTTGCAGTGTATACCCTGTCGGCCAGACACAGTTTGAGGGGAAGCCATTCGACACATGCTTGAAGCTTCTGCACACACTGGCCAGGTAGCTGTGTAGACTGGACGGTTTCGGCAGCCGGTCGCGGCTCGTAAATCTTGTGTTTGGCCCTGGTTCGGCCCTGGTGGGCCTGGCGCTATTTCTCGGACACCCTGAGCCCAAGCTCCCCCCCTGCGGGCCCTCCTCCTCTTCTTCTCTCTTCCTCTCTTGCGTCCCCCCCTCTTGGGGGGGTGCGTGGGCTTAGGGATCGTCCTCTCTGCGTGGCTCGTGGTCTGGGGAGTCCTCGTCGCCGCCGTCTCCATCCCGCTGAATCTCTGCTCAATCCCAAAATCATGGGCTTCGAACCTCTGCCCTAAACCCGAGATGAAGAAGAGGAGGAGGAGGAGGAGGAGGAGGAGGAAGGGAGGAGGAGGAGAAGGCGGAGGAGAACGAGGAAGAGGGGGAGGAGAACAGCTGCCGATCATCGGCGCTCTTCGTTCGAGTGCCTGGTGTAGGATAGGCTGGTGGGGATATTTTTTTTACCTAACAGCGAAGACTGATAGGCTTCTAATATTAAACATAAAAATAACACATTTTATATACTAAATTAAATGCTGAGAAAATGGATAGGCTCAAAAACGAGCATCATGACACCTCAGCGGGGGTCGGGGCGGACCCTGGGCGGCTGCCGTCCGAAGCCCAAAAATCGCTTAGGACATCCTCGCAAAATTGCTCTTGCGCTGCTAAACTCCATTCCGCGTACAATTTGGAAGCCGAGCTAACCTGTAAGCCATCGTGGTCTTCGAGTTCCCAAAAAAACTCCATTTCCGGCTACATTTGGATGCCCCGGAGCCAACTGTAGTCCACTTCGTGGTCTTCGAGTTCCCAGAATTCCATTTCCCCGGGCCACATTTGGAATGCCCGGAGCCAACTGTAAACGCCCCAAAAAGGAAATGTCGTGCTCTTCGACCTCCCAGACCTCCATTCCCGGGCCACATTCTGAATGCCCGGAGCCAACTGTAGGCCACTTCGTGCTCTTCGACTTCCCAGAACTCCATTCCCGGGCCACATTTTGAATGCCCGGAGCCAACTGTAGGCCACTTCGTGGTCTTCGACTTCCCAGAACTCCATTCCCGGGCCACATTTTGAATGCCCGGAGCCAACTGTAGGCCACTTCGTGCTCTTCGAGTTCCCAGAACTTAATTCCCCCCGGGCCGACATTTTTGAATGCGGAGGCAGGCTGAGCTTGATGCTGAGGCAGCTGAGGCTGAAAACAGGCGAGGCGAGAACGAGGCTGAAGGCAGACTGAGGCCGAGGCTGAAGCCAGGCTGAGGCTGAGGCTGAAGCAGGCTGAGGCTGAGGCTGAGGCAGGCTGAGGCTGAGGCAGAGGCAGGCTGAGGCTGAGGCAGGCTGAGGCCGAGGCCGAGGCTGCAGGCAGACTGAGGCCGAGGCTGAAGCAGGCTGAGGCTGAGGCTGAGGCAGGCTGAGGCTGAGGCTGAGGCAGGCTGAGGCTGAGGCAGGCTGAGGCTGAGGCTGAGGCTGATGCAGGCTGAGGCTGAGGCAGGCTGAGGCTGAGGCCGAGGCCGACGGCAGACTGAGGCTGAGGCTGAAGCAGACTGAGGCTGAGGCTGAGGCAGGCTGAGGCTAGGCTGAAGCAGGCTGATGCTGAGGCAGGCTGAGGCTGAGGCTGAGGCTGATGCAGGCTGAGGCTGAGGCAGGCTGAGGCTGAGGCCGAGGCTGAAGGCAGACTGAGGCTGAGGCTGAAGCAGGCTGAGGCTGAGGATGAGGCAGGCTGAGGCTGAGGCTGAGGCAGGCTGAGGCTGAGGCAGGCTGAGGCTGAGGCTGAGGCTGAGGCAGGCTGAGGCTGAGGCAGGCTGAGGCTGAGGCCGAGGCTGAAGGCAGACTGAGGCTGAGGCTGAAGCAGGCTGAGGCTGAGGCTGAGGCAGGCTGAGGCTGAGGCTGAGGCTGATGATGAGGCAGGCTGAGGCTGAGGCTGAGGCTGATGCAGGCTGAGGCTGAGGCAGGCTGAGGCTGAGGCCGAGGCTGAAGGCAGACTGAGGCTGAGGCTGAAGCAGGCTGAGGCTGAGGCTGAGGCAGGCTGAGGCTGAGGCTGAGGCAGGCTGAGGCTGAGGCTGTGACTGCGACTGCCGTTGCCACTGTGACTTGCATCGCGAATGCGACTGCGACTGCGAGAGCAGCAGAATTCTACAACTGGATTATCATGTGAATCTTAAGGGGAATGCTTCCAGATATGCCCCTACACATCGCTGTTAGGTTGTTTTGCCGGGATATTTTTTACGGCCGCAGGCGGAAGCGCACAGCGGCGAGCAGTCACGGTCGGGCCGCGGCCGTGGCGAAATTCCCGAGCGCGCGCGAAGCCGCGGCTCAGGCGGCGGGAGCGGCAACCCAGGGCGTCTGAGAAGCCAGCGACGTGCAACCCCAGGGAGTCGGAAGGTCAGTCGCCTGAGACAAACGTGCAAGCTGCGACCCAGGGAGTCAGCGAAGTCAACCGTGAGGCGAGCCAAGCGCAGCCAAAATGGCGCGCAGTACGTCCCGTCGCGCCCGAGTAAGAAGGACCGCGTGGTAGGGACTACCACCGTGCAGGAAGGTCACCCAGGGAACCTGACGGGTGATCAGGCAGTACTGGTGACGTCGTCCAGCAAGGGAGGCTCTGACGGCGCCAGCGAACTGTCGCAACATCAGAAAACGCATCCACGCAAAGGATCTAGGCCAGAGTAGCCAGAGAGGACCCAACCACGGCGGAGCGATGCGCCTGCGTACAGAAACCAGCAAACTGGTCAGGACGCAAGAGGGTACACATAAGCACAGCGAGAACGCAGGGCTCAAGAGTGACGTGCACCGAACAACTATGTGACGTAGCGCCAGGCGGCTAACACAACCATGCGTGTGCGCTCGATAGGACAGCAACCGTCGTATACCCAAGACGGCGAATCCATCACAGTCACAGAGTCCCAGGGAGTACCGCACACCGGAATGTGCGGGAGAGCAACGTGGGCCGAACCTTCATACTCCGAAACCGAGCAGCACGAGGTAGACGCGTGTCAACGGTGAGCGGAGCTGATCGGGTGAGACCGTCGGTCCAGTCAGTGAGGCAGCCAGCCAGGTGTGCCTCCCGCCCATGGCGTAACAAACCGCGGCGATGGGCCGCCCATCCAACCGTGTCACGTTACTCACAGGAAAGAAATAAGACGGCTGAAGGCCGTTGTAACTTGAAAGTCCTAGGGAGTGAGCGCAGATCCGGGGACGGGGCGGAAACCGCCAGGTCGTCGACCGCGAACGCTGCGCGCCAGGCAGGCCTGGCAGTGAAAACAGCTACAGTAAGGCCCGGGGCCACTATGGCCACACGCAACACGAGGAAGCGGTGTGGCCGGTGTTGCTGGCACACGTACTCGGGTCCAAAGGCAGGAAGTGCGTGCACCAGGAGGGGCGGCGGAATGCCGCAAGCGGGTCCGAAGACCAAAGCACGGCTGAAGGCCGTCGTCTGATACAGAATCCCAGGGTACAGGTACGCTCAGGTGTGAGCCCCAATCGGTCTCAGGGCAGCTTAGCTGGGCACGGGACCAATCGGGCCACTGGTGAGAAACACTACAACGGGGCCAGGGGCCAAGTAGGGTCTGCAGGCTACGCTCCCATACGCAGCGAGGCAGATGGTATTGCTGGCCGGCACACTTGGGTCCAAAGGCAGGAAGTGTGCGGGCCAGGGAGAGTGGGCAGCCTGGCTGCCACGCAGTTGAGGGAGAAGTAAGGCAGCTGAAGGCTGCGCGTAGTGTGTAGTGAGTTGTCGCTCAGGATGTATAGAAGCTGGGTGAAGGGGGGAGTGGGCTCAGTCTCTCCATCGGTGTCTCTTTTCGTCTCGGTCGTCGGGTCTGCCTCCCCCTCGCTTGCCACCCGTCTGCCAGCGATCGTCACGCCAGCCTTCACTCCAGTCGCTCTGCCAGCTACCCCAGGTGTCCCAGGAGCTCGTAGCACGGTCCCGCCAGCTGCTCTGCTGGTGGTTGCCTTTGCCCCTGCCGTCGGGTCTGGTGCGTCGCAGGTAGTTGGCCCGCAGTTTGTCCCAGTCAATGCGATAGCCATACCTTGCGTCCATCAGGTAGGCGTTGTACCCGCAGCCCTTCCAGTCGTCAAAGAAGTTGATGATGGTCGTATCCGTGTGCAGTCTCGGGTCTGATTTGGGCCCCCTGGATCCAGGGAGCCAAATGCGCTGCGTGTGCGCGGTCCACAGCGCGCAGAAAACTGCACCCAACTCCGACTGGTACCTGGCGAGGCGTCTGGCGGGTGTCTCGTCGCTACGCTCCAAGTCCACCGTGCCCAGCCAGACCTGATACATGGGTCCCCCATGTGAGTCGGTCAACAGGTTGAGCGCATCGCGCTCCGTCGAGCCTGTTGGGCGAGGGTAGGTGGGTCTATATCCAGGGGGACCTGTG